AGGTGCACGAAAAGACGCTAATCCCGTTATCTCATTTCATTTACGTTTGACAACGGGTCCTAATTTGGATCGAAACGTTACAATAAACATTTTACAACTCAGTGTAAGCCTCCATTCTCTCTTGATATATATATATATATATATCACGGAGTCGTTCCTTGTGTGACAAGGGGTTGCCTGATTGCAACAATCCGTGGTTCGCGCAGAGTTAAAGTAGGCCATCTCCGTTGTGCCCTCCCTCTTCTGACCAAAGTTGAACGCCGGCCGCTTGTGCACCGTTCTGATTAATCCAGACGTCCGGCTTGGATATTGAAGTCTTTCGCGACTACTATGATACCCGTTGTTTGAACACCTCATTCTAGGTGCAATGCAACCGGTCGTTGCATGCACGGACACGACCAATAAGCAACGACGTTTCTTTCTGAAGCTGTTGACCCGTACTGAGCGGTCGAGACGTACAGCACACAGTCGGATGTTGACTGCAATCGAGCCAAGAAGTAAGCGCTCAGCCGTTACAATATCTACACGCAGCACCGCGATCGTCAGATGGTGAATCGCCTAGCTCACTAAGAATGAAGCGCGAGGATGAGTTTGAGTCGGGAGAACGCGGGACGATAACTGAGAAAGGGTCTTGCATATCTGTTTTGCTGACGTAACATATCTCTGCATTGAACATTTCGAAGGGTTCTAACTTAGTTAACCTGTTAGCCGATTTGATAGGGTGTACGGACTTTGAATGCGGCTAATTGCAAAGGGGAGTTCCGCTTCATCAATCCTATAGCCTCTGATTGGAATACCCTAGCGGTTGAACTTTGGGTGATATCCTATGGGTAGCGTTACAAGGAGGCATCTGCAACGATTCAGGAGTGATCGGAAGAACTTTACAGAAGAGAGAGGTTTCCACATTGGTGGTGGTTACCCTGGGGCATGACATACATCCTGGTAGCCCACACCGAAGAAAGGGTTTTCCTTTGCGCACCCTGACCTGGAGCCTTTAACTCGAAATCTGACCCACAAGCCAATTGGTCATAGATCAAACGCGGAGGCATGCCCGAATCACCCATATGGGAGCCTCTAGAGACCTGCATTGCAAGACCTTCGAACTTTGATTCGGAATGTTGTTCGCTGGTGCTTCGATCTTCGGTTCGTTGTTAGCTATCAGCCTTTATACTCATGCACACAATGAGGCAAACAGAACGTGAAC